CACTGATTTCTTAAAGAATTAAATTTTTGTCTTTGTCACTTATTTCACTCAGTATCTTTTGATGCTTATTGCTAATTATACCCAAATTTGACACAGGATAGAGGGAAATATATGTGTATTTGCTACCAACCTGTGAAAAATAGCAGCTGGTCAGAGGAAAGAACTCTAAAGAGGTACTTTAACTGAGGAAAAGACAGTTACAAATCCTCCTTCTTAGAGTAAGCAGCCAGATGGCAAGATGAAACGGAGATGTTGACTAACCCCTTGGCATACTTGTAGCTCTGTCATTTGGCAGCCAAACAGGTGGTAGCTGTGGAAGGCAACTGTAGGAGAATACGCTGAGGTGTTGGTGTATGGTGGAGACAAATTGGATGAATCTGAGGATTGTTAGATTCAAATCCGTAGGAATCTAGGCTTCTGTAGCTTCCTCATTTATGGAATAACTCGGTGACAGCAACACTGGTAATGAAGAGGTAGATCATCCTTATCCTTCTAAAGCAGCTCAGGATACTGTTAACCTTGCCACAAGGGCACGTTGCTGGCTCACTTTCAACTTGACCACCAGGGCTCCCAGGTTCTTTCCTGCAAAGCTGCTTTCCAAGTCATCCAGCATTTACCAATGCATGAGGTTATTCCTCACTGGGTACATGACTTTGGACTCCCCTTTGTTGAACTGCATGAGTTCTTGTTGGCCATTTTCTTCAACCTATCGAGGTCCCTCTGTGGCAGCATGGTCTATCAAACACTCCTTCCACTTTTGTGTCATCCGTGAACTTGCTGATGGTAATTGGTCCTACCATCCAGATCATTAATGAAGATTCTAAATGGAATTGGAGCCAGTATAGACAGACCCCTGTGGTATGCCGCTGGTTGCTGGGATCTGACTGGAATTCACTAGATCACCTGCCACTCAGCCAGTTTTTCGTCCACCTTGTTGTCTGCCCATCCAGCCTACATTTCATTGTGGTTTTATGATTTTACAGCTCTCTTAAGGTCATTCAGTGATACCCAAATAGCTGTGGTTTTTCTCTGTCCATGTCCTTTTTCTCTTGCCTGACACTTCTGAGCACAGAGCACTTTTAGCCTGTGCACACTGAATTCCTGAAGTTTTCATGTAAATTGACATCTAAGCAGAGGAGGAAGACACTATTAATACTGGAAAATGGAAGAAAAAAATCAACACTTCTTCACATTCTTTAACTTGTTTAGCAGCAAAAGCAAGCCCTTGATGATCTGTGAGTTTCATCTACTAGTCTTCAGACAACCAGCTAGTTGATTCTGAACCCATGTTTCTAACCTATGGATATATTGCAATGAAAGAAATATAGGAAATGAAGATATGATTAAGGATATGAGGTGGAATAGGATTTTGTGATGGGAGATTGAGGTTTTTGTGGGTTAGGTATCTTTACAAAACATTTTTTTCCTCATTGGGTGTCTTGCTTGCAGAAGACATCTCAATCTGAAGTGGTTTGATGCTTCAAAATTTTGGTTCTGTTTGGCTTTTTTAATACGGATGTGAAAGAAATCCCATGTATGTTTTGATTTATGTGGTATGCACTTGCCATAGCTGATGGGGCAAGTTAAAATCATGTTTTGATAGTCTCTTTAATTCTTAAAGTTTCTGTGTCTTACAAAGTTTGTCTGCTACTGTTGTATTATTCTTTGTATTGCTGTGTTTTGAAGTACTGAGTTAAGTAGATTGTTACTGGGGAAAGAGGCGGTGAGAAGATGTGGAGTGATGAGTTCATCCTTTGGCAAGCTAGTGGTGTAAAGCCAGGACGTAGACCTCAGTCTTTAGAAGTACTCAAATACTTTAATACTCAAATAGGCCTCTCTGCTTAATCAGTATTTTTGAAGTTTACTGGGCTATTACTCTGCAGTAACAGTCTCTGGTATTTATTCTTTAAAATTATTTTTCCTTCTATTGGTAACAATAGGTTGCCATCCTCTGGTGAAATTTGCAAACTGTTTTCTAAGGACCTGACACACTATCAGAAGAGAGAAACCCACTGAAGTTCGGAAAGCTTAGGATCAATAAATATATATTTTTTTATGTATATATATTTTTTCTATGATAGGAATGTAGTTACTTGTACAAGGAATAAGTTAGAAGAATCTTAGAAGCATTTATATCAAATCTCTCTTTCTTCCCCTTTCCTTTAACATCTGCGGAGAATATAAAGGAGTTAATTTCTTGACAATTTTTCCACCCTATCAACTCATACTGAACTACCTTGTTAGGTGGAAAGACTTCTGGATGCCAGTGTATTATCATTAGTTAGCTATTAATAGGTGAATTGCTTTGATGTCCATATTCAGAAATCATTGCTGAAACTGTGTAAAGTGCATTTTATATTGTAGTGTCATTGTGACATCCACATGGGTTTATGCCAAAGATACAAGGTATGTAAATTATTAGTTATTACCCGCAAATGCTGGCTGAAAAATAGTATCAGAAAGTAGTGGAGAGTTTTTGAACATACTTTTTTTTTTCCTCATACGTGACAGACATTCTATGAATTTATGTGATATGATACAGGATATGCCTCTTTTTTCTCTAAAAAAATAGCTCACAGAACAGAATAAACAATGTGGTACTTATCTCCTTAATGCAAAATTGCCAGCCTAGCTGGAGTCACAGATAAAGGTTTATTCTCTTAGTTAAGCTGCAGAATTTGAATCTGCTTTTCTACTGATGATGTCATTGTTGAATTGGTGTAACTTGTATAGCCTGAGTGTTTAAGAATACACTTAAACTAGTGATTCTTCTAAATGTAGTGATTTTTCTGTTACCTGTTCTATTCTTTTTACTGGCATTGTATTTGTTCTTTGTACTTTCAACTGAAGATTTGATTGAAGTCTGCCTTTATCCCACTTCCGTGAGGTGAAAGCTGTTAACTTAGTGTTCTACAAATTAGATAAATGATCTGGAAATTTTTCTTCCATTTTTCATTCTTGACCTTCTTTTGGATTGAACTTTGTGTTATGTTTGCTACTTGACCACTCTTTTTCACTTCAAGTCCCTGAAATATTTTTGGCTTTTGCTTACTGCTGGTCATCTATAAATTTTCCTGCCTCATCTTTTATTTACCTTTCTCCTATCTTTTTGATAGTAAACTTTATAAGCAGTGAATCTTTTGTGGACCCTTAAGGAATTCAGCTACTTAGCTGTTACTATATGAGAATATGCATTTATTTCCGATCTTCACTTCCTTCTAGACAGGTAGTTGTTACTGGCAATGCTTTGTGTCTCTGGTAGGGGGTTATGAGCTGTTTAGGGTCATGTAAGGCAGGGTAGCGTATTGTTAAGGGAAGATGGGCATTTCCCAAAGGGTACAAATGTGCATTTGGGCTGCTACCATGAAGTAGTAGGTGTTCCTGCTTGAGCAGGAATGTACAGATTTTGCGTGAAGATGGTTTATTCTGGGACAAATGACTAGCCTGTGTGGTGTGTTATCCTTTATGTAACTAGGCTGTTTCATTCTTAGTTACTTATTTCTGCTGCTGCTTTTTTCACACTCAACAGAAATTTTGTAGAAGTGGTTTCAGGAGATGGCTGTTTGCAGCCTTGTCAGATTTGTTACTGTTGGATTTATTTAAATAAAGACTGCATCTTCACTGAGTCACAGTAAAAGCTGGTATGCATTCCCTGTAAGAACTGTACATCAGCAGTTCTGTGCTTCCTGTGATTGTAGAATTAATTCCCTAGTGGAAAAATCTCTGAAGGTACTCCCTTTTTTCCTATGTTTAGAGGTCATAGCTCTTCCCACATGATGATGTAACTATGGCTAAAGAAGTCCATGATATAAACTACACCAGCTGATGAAGAATATACTCATTAACTGTGTTTTTCAGTACTGATCACTGTTTTCCCCATGTTATTTGCTAAGAAATGCATTCCTTAGAAATATCTTCAGAAGCCAGGAATAGAAAGATGCTTGGTGATATGCAGATTTGAATTGGGGTTTGTTTTCGTTGTCTTTTTCTTTGAGATGCCTTGTAGAATTTCTGATTGCAATAACTATTCTTCAGGAAAACCTTCCCCTTGACCCACTCTCCCTTTTCTCCCCATGTGATTTTTGGGTCTCAAAACCACAGTGGTACTAACAAAACATTAAATACAAAGAGACCAAGCAGATGAAAAAAAATGGCATCTTAGACTTGATACTTATTGCTCAGTGTAATATAGGGAGGTGGTAGAAAGGCTGAGAGATTCGGAGCTACTTGATTTCCCTGTAGTATTTTCCTTCTACTGGTCTGTGTCATTTTCCATAGCAGCTTCAGATGAAGCATTGGATTTTCAACTTGGTGAAGAACAGCAGTGATAAATGGTCCTCTTGGTATGTAAATTTGGAAGAAGGAAGTATAGAGAAAATATCTACAGAAGTCAGACACATGCTTGATTATAATCTGTGAGTGTTTTGACATGACTTAGTATATAATCAAGTATACAAATGCAAGTATTTTTTAAGATTATTTAATTTATTTTGAATCCCAATAGCAAATATACACTAAATAGATATTTAAAATACCCCTTTTATACAGTACTGTCTGTATTGAGAATTCTATGTGCTGACCTACGTAGAAGTCAGGGCAGTTGAGTTCCAGCTATCTGCTTGCATTCAGCAATTTTAAGGTACTTATGTTAACAAGGAATTCTTAACCCGTGTAATGTCAATTATAAAAGAGGAAAAAAAATAAAAGGAAAACTGTGATTACTATTCTTATAGATAAAGAAGATGTTTGTGCCAGCCTAAAGGGAGTTTAATAATCATTCCTATTAAGCTTAAAGCATATGATAAACCTTGAATCCTTCTTTTTCAAAGTTCAGAGTGCATCAAATTGCATTGATAGCAAAACACTGAAGAGCGTTTCCCTCTTAAGGTTGCAAGAAGAAATACCAAAAGCTTTCAGAGGTTTTTTTGTGTGTTATTTCTTGATATGAAACCTACCTTTATCTCACTTACTATGTTTTCATCAGGGACAAAAGACCTCACAATATCGTACCTTTTCATTGCATCTTTGCTGATTATCAAAAATGGCACAAGAAGTCATCCTTGAGGTCTGACAATTTCTTTTTATAACTTCTCTTAAAATGCTTTTTGGCAGATGAAAATTCATTACTATGAAAAAAGTCACTTCCACTTGATTTTTAGAATCTATTTAAAAGAAAGAATATGTCAAAACGATGTGATTTAAGTAAAGAATTTAACACCTATAATAGGAAACATCAAATACAGTTTCCAGTTTCAAGAGTCCTTCCATAAGATATAAAGGCTTTTGTTTAAATTATTCAAATGTAGATTTAACATGGATCCTACTAACATTTTTCATCTAATTCATTATCTCTGAAATAGTAAATACATTGTAAACTGGTTAAATTGTGTAAAATCAGCATTTTTCTGCAAACTTCAAGTATTGTAGAACTGATTTCAACAAGTTGTTTTATGAAATGACCAACTTCTCTATCATTTAAGGAAGTTTCCGAGTTGCACACTGTTTCTGGCTAAAATGCAACGGAAAGTTGAAGGCTGAACCTCCCAGTACTTTACAGGATTATTGAAGAGGCTTATGCCACTGTATAATGCTTTCTTCTTTCTTCTTCCTGTTGGGCAGAAATCATTCACTCCCAGTTTCGCAATATGATTAGAATGGAGGAAAACTACCTGCAGTAATAAGAAACAGTAAAATCAAATAATTAGGATGTAAATGGGAAAAATACCAAACATTCATTGGCACATATATAAGTAACTGCGGTTTGCTGTAAGATTAGTTGGATGCAGGCCTTAATAGTAATAGGAATTAAAAATTTGTTTTAAATATTAATAAATATTTACCTCCTGACACAAAACAAGTGTTTTGTAGTCTCTCCCACAAAACAAGTTATATCATTTTTTATCAGTGTGTTGTCAGAATAATTGAACTCTATTCTTATGGAGCATTCTCCTAAAATGTAGTTTATATTCTCTTATAGTAAAAATTATATATCTCTCATAATAAGTATTACATTCTACCAAAATGTAAATCTTCAGAGTTTTAATAATTTTTTAAAAGTAATATCTAGAAAAGTTGATATTGGTAGGTTTGCTGGTATGGTTTTAATTGCTATTTCAGATTCTGGGAAATAAATACCTTTTGAAAGTGTTTTATTGCTGAATTTTTCTAGTTATAAATACAAATTTAAAATTTTATCATTTCAACCTAATGAATAATTTACTTTGGATTTAAGATTTTTCAGCATGGGCATGGAAAAATTTCCACTCTGGCTTGCTGATGCTAGAGTATATATATAATATACATATAATTATATAATAATTATATAATAAATATGTAGCAAACAAATATATGTGACAATTATGCTTTTTAGTTATGTCCTAATCAGCATGGTGGTGTAAAAGTCAAACAGCTCATAACAACCAGAACTTTCTATTAAGTTTAGTATATGACCTGTAGATATTTCAGTTCGGGTAATCCAGGAGGAACTTTCTTGAGCTTATTTTTTTCAAGATGGATTTCACGTATGCTTGGTATGTTGGCAAAACTTCCATTTTCCACATCTTTGATTTTATTATTCCCAAGTCCAAGCCTAGAAATAGTATAAGAAACATTTAATTAAAGAGCAATTGAGATTCACAACAGCACTGAAGAGCATAAACATACTTTGGTTTTTGGGCTTGGTTTCTTTTTGTGGCTTTTTGTTAGTTTGTTTGGGGGATTTTGGAGGGGGGGGGGATTGTTTTTTGTTTGTTGGGGTTTTTTTAAGTTTGAAATATGTAGGAGTAAACATAGGGGACAAAAAGAGTTGGGGAGAGTTGATGAAATCTTACCTCTGATAGAAATAAAATCCCACTACTGATCTATCAAACTTTTTTTCTTCTTAATTCAATCTGCACTTAAAGGACAGCAGCTAGCCTGATGAGAGCAGCTGTCTGGTTTTGCATGCAGTTTTTATAATTTCAGTGGCAAGAGTTAAAATGATAAACGTCAACCAATCTGCTTGTAAAAGAAATTGTGCCATTTTATCAAGTAGCGTAATCTCACAGTTACAGAAAGTGTTGTTCTAATAAACAGTCAAAGAAAGCAAGTCTTATAAGGAAACAGTTATAGATTAGTCAAAAAAATTTGTCTTTTAAAAATAAGCAGGACTACCTTTTTCCTACTTCTACATTTTCCTTAATTTAGGCCTTGGTTTGATTTTTTTTTTTTTTTTTTTCTATGACACTTCAGTCTGTGTTGCTGGAAAGATGATTCAGAAGGTGGATGTGCACGTCAGTTTGGAATTGCTCTTTCCACTTGACCTGCCATCCTCTGTTTGTCCTTTCTTAATTTTTTCAAAACCTAAAGTTGGTATCTGAAAGCAGCTCAGCAGTTCTTCTTTCATAGTAGTTTGTTACCAAATCTAAAATTCACTGCTGCTTAGCCATATTTTCAAGTAGTTAACTGAGCTTTACAGAGCAAACTTCCTTTTTTTGCCCTACATCACTGATACATTCCTCAATGTATAGAGTGTTTCTTTCCAGTATACTTGGGCTTTCTCTAGAATTAAAAACCTATTATGACTCCTAATCCTACAAATTTAATTGCAAGAAAGGCATTCTCTTCCCAAAACAAAAGTCTGTTGGCATTGCTGTATGTGTCATTCTGGGGGGTGACTTGTGAGGTAAGTAACCAAAGAGTTAAAATGCCTGGGCCTGGTAAGGAGCAGCCTAGAGAAAACCACAGATTACTGTTGATAAATGATATGACCACAAAGTTTCATACATTCTGAGTATGAGAAATACAGGCAATGCTTAATCGAAGCATATTACTACTAGCACATTAAGAGACATTATGTAAAAGACATGTTTTATTACACAACACCTAGGTGCCATGAGGTAAGAATTTACAATAATTACATTTTGTAACGAGATGATGCTCTTAACATACACTTCTACTGAGAACTGTAGGCAAGAGGTGTAGTAACAAGGCTAATGTTGGGGGGGGGGGAGTGGCTTTTTTTTTTTTTTTTTTTCAAAGTTTGGTCTTATTTAGAGCAGTTCTTAGTAAAACTTTTAAATTTCTAAATTCTCTTTTCTCCCATTGGCAAGTATTAAATAAGAGATCCTGCCAGGTCTGACCTTTAATCAAAGAAAAGCATTCTGCCTGGGAGTTTTACCTTTGAAGATCTTTATACCGGTTAAAATCTTCAATTTCAATTGCTGTGATCTTATTGTCATCTAAATGAAGTTCCAGTAGGCTGGAGGGCAGTCCTGGTGAAAAACAAATGCAGTATGAGAAAAGTAAGACAACTTATTTTTGTTGGACTGTTTATTATGTTCCAAACAACTTCTTTCCTTTGTGTTTAGTATTGGGTGAAGAACTGGGGGGATGAGGTGGGGGGAGGGTGATGGTGTCTGTATGAAAGAAATGGATATTGGATACAAGTATGTTACTAAAAAAAAAAAATAATAAAACTTATCAACATAATTTGATTTAAAATAGTAGTCTTGAAAGAAAATTAAGATGTGAAGGTACATATGCTAAAGTTAAGAATTCAGGATTCTAAAATTTGATATAATTTTGCTAGCTTGCTTTGTAACAGCTTTCTGTATACTTTTGGTTAACCTGTTAAAGGTGTAAATTGTATGTTATATGCAATTATCTGTTGGTACTCCAAATACTGCTCCTATGGAACCAGTTTTTGGTTACATATTTTCTTGCACAGAGTGTAGCAACTGTGTAATTCTAAGTTCCAAACTGTGTTATTATAAGTTCCAAAGATGTGATGTGGGAGGAAAGCTTTTGGAATTCTCTAAGGAAAATTAAATATTCCATATGTTCTTTCCTATGCCAGTATGTGGAGTGTTTTCTCACATGGTACCAAATAGTCCCAATTCAGAACTGTCAGTGAGTGAACCGGGAGGAGGAGACTCTTTTTTACAACATGCTTTTAGTGAAGGCAGAGAAAGACATTCACAAGTTTGAATTTGTATTTGCTGATCTTATGTTCAGTTTTACCAGCATGTGTCTAGATGGCACCCTGACACCAAGCAAGAGAAACCACGCTTGTGAGAGTACTGCTCACATTGCCATTGTTATTTGTTGGAGCCTCACAACACTGAAGTGGTGTGCTTTACAGTCTGTTTTTGTGCCAGTGGCTATGCTATGGTGTTCGTTCATTTGGGCTTTTTTCCACTTTAAATTCCAGCTTACGATTCCCCTGCGTGCTGCTTAGAAAGACAAAATTGGAATCATTTTATCTTTGGCGGGTTTTTTTGATGCTAAGTGACAGGAGACACTATTATGATGGTAGTAGAAGAAACTCTTTTTGTGTATATTGGGGTGTGTTACCATAAGCAGGCACGTGGTTTGTGATCTTAAAATTATCTGAACAATTAATGTGATTTGCTCGGTTTATTTTTTTGTCCTTGTTTTTTTTTTATGTTTGCTTGGTGGTTTTTGGGTGGTTTTGGTGTTTTTTTTTTTTAGTGTTCTCTTCTACAGGATGCTTTTGTATTATATATATGTCTATAAGAAGAGATTAAATATAATAAACAAGTTCTTTATCCGACTGATCCCAAAATCATGATCTCAGGGGCCAGTATTTAGTTTCCCTGCAACCTGATGAATGATACAACACAAATCATAGGCTAGTTTGGATTGGAAGGGATCTTAACGCTCGTCCAGTTCCAACCATCTGCAATGGGCAGGGACACCTTCCACGGGAGCAGCCTGCTCCAAGCCCCGTCTTTTTTCCTTCCCTTTTTCTCATAGATAGTATTTTTGAACAGTTGAAATTAGCAGTTAAATTTTACTTAGCAAGACCTCATCAAAAGATGTATAAAGTGCTGTGTTGGGTTTTGCATTATGGTGGTCATATTGCAGAGCATATTTGAGCTACAGTCTCACTTGAAACATTCAAAATTCAAGTTAGAAATTTTAAATGCATAAAGAAAGTTGGAATTCTGTATCTCTGATGAACCCTTATGATCAAATATCAGGGGGTTTATCCTTTCTTTGAAAGGATTTTTGAGAGGCTAATGTAGAAGATGTGAACTGACATCTAATTATGATTTGCTTCACATTGCTTCTCCTGAAAAGTCTCTGAATGTTAGGGGAGTGGACCTCTTAACAGGGAGAAGGCTGGAAAGTGAGTGTGTGTGCACTGCTTGTGTGAGTACTCGTGCATGTGCCTGCACCTGTGTGCACACTTTTGGGATGTAGAATTGGATTCCAAGTAGAGAAAGAAAAATAAAGTAGGAAGTGATCTAATAGAAATAAAAAATACCATACCAAATTTATGAACATTTTGGTAATCATACAGATGTTGAAGCATTTTATTTAGGCGTGTAGTGTATAGGTAAAATGGAACAGGTAAAACAAAGCAGCATACCTTTAGGAATTGAAGTTAATTTTGCTTCTGCAATTCTGATATGATAGATATTTACTCCTTCAAAAGCTCCTGGCTCTATTCCATCATTGTTAAGAGGATTTGCACTCATTTCTGTCCAAGGGAAAAATAAAAAAAGAGGTCTTTATGGCATAGGATTTCTATGTCTTTTTGACTGCCTTATAAGCATCTGATTTCATTTTATTTCTGACTTCTGATGTTCCAAGCATTAATTAATATTTAGCTTGGATTACCTAAGTTCCAGCTTTCAGGTGAAGAAAGGCTGTGAGGATACATAGTAATTAAACCATGGAAGATCACTTCCACAGCTTGGAGATCTCTTAAAGTTGCACACTAGAAATGGTTGAATGAAAACTATATATAGTATGTTACAGTTTTGATAAAGACATTTTCTTTTCTACTTAATTGGACTTGCCTAAAACATGTAGAGTCTTCATTCCTTTAAATGCATCCTTGTGGATTTTCTTAACCTTATTAGCATGGATTCTGAGCTCTGCTAAAGTATTTGGTAAATTTGTTGGAATCTCAGTTAGCTGGTTGTGAGATAAATACAATCGTCGTAGCTTCTTTGTTGGTTGAAAGGCTTTTGGATGGATCTTGGTTATTTTATTGTTGTTCAAAGCCAGCGCCTATGAGAGATGGGAAGAGAAATACAAAGAAAATTTCTTTATGAAGGATCATTGACTATGAATTTTAAGTAATGAATTTGAATATGTAATTTAAAATAAGTATTTTAAATATTTTATTTTCCCATCATACTGAACATTAGCACTTATGGCTTTTGAAATACACTTTGGGCATTTCAATTGATTGGGGGGGCAGGGGGGGAAGAGCCTGAAAGCTGGAGCATCAACTAGAAGGTAGATAAGAACTAGTCAGAGCTGACAAGGTGCCAGTGGGCAATGAGAAGAACTGGCAAAGAAATGCTTGTCATCATATATTTTGTAGGATTGTGTCAGGATTATATTCTGTTGTTGATGTTCCTTAATGCAGACAAATTCTCAAAACTCAGAATTCCATCTCAGCATAATACTGCAAAATAACAGGGTTTTAATCTGAATTTCCTTAATGTCTGTAGATGACTTAGACACACATGAATTGTATTTTATTTTCCATAATTTCTCAACTTCTGGATTTAAGTCTCTTTTGTACAGTACACTAGTCCCTTTTTTGAGACAGTTACTTGTTCTTGGCTGCTGCATTTTATCAGAGAACTTGTAATGAGTACAGACAACAAAATTTATCTGAGATTATTTTGCATGTCAAATCACATCTTTGCATTTCCATACCTAAAGCAATAAATGTTGGGTTTTTTTACTTCTTTGAGCTGTTGATAAGTCTCTGCTTTCTGAAATTGGGGGCAGGGGGGAGGGGAAATTAAAGTGAAACAGATTTTTTTTTTTCCTTTTTTTTCCCTGAATGAATGAGGATAGCTTAAGGAAATAAACAGGAAGTTCTCCTTCCTAATCCAAGTTGCCATCTGTTCCTTTGCTAAATAGACTAGTACTCAGACAAGATGTACAAAGTAAACTTTGCTTTCAGTAAAAATTTTGTTAGGTCTTGCCACAAATTAGCTGATGAGAAAAATCAGAACAGCTTGAAGTTTGCAGTCATCACATAATTAAGTGGTGACTCTACTGTATAATGTGGTGATTGCTAATGTAGTCCAGTGTCTATCAGTGAATGGAGTTTAGCTTCTGTAAGATCTTTTATACTGAACGTAAACCACTGTTAGTGTGTTTACCCCTGACTTGCTGGTAAGACCATTTGTACCCAGACCTGAGACACTTGAGGGGAGTGGAAACTTTGTTGCAAACTCTGAATTTATATAGTTCCTATTTTTTCTATCCTAGCTTAGCTCATAATGGTTAAGAAGCTGATTCTGAGATGCTTAGATCTGGTAAATTTTCAGTTCTTGCTCAGAAACCAAACCAGACTGACCAGGAGTTGGTTTTATTGTGATGTGTTTCATGGCTTCCTAATGAGGTAGAAAATGTCATTAACTTGCTGTAACTTGTGGAACAGATTGGTCATTCTTACAAAAAAAAAAAAAAGGTTTTTAAATTGTCAGTATTTGTTCGTACTGGATTTAGAGTGACATCCTATGGAGATAAGTGTTCCAGAACAGATTTAATATTCCTTTCCAAGCCTCTGAGGTTCTCTTATTTTCTTTCATGGTAAAAAAAAAATATTCATTATAGTGTTATTGTGTACTGTAAATGTTTAGATTTATCAATTGCTAATTATTCTAAACCTGTCTTTACATGCTAAGGAGTGAAGAAATCTTGAGTATCTTCTTGGTACCTTTCCTGAATGTTGTAGGAAGTGGCATAGTTCTTACAGCTCAAAGAAATTTGCTTCTTGATAGGTGGGAGCAGTCAAATATGCAAGCATTAGACTGTATTTTTATGGCTGTTACTGGAGAAGAAAAAAATATATCTTAAAAGTATCAGAATATTATGTATTGCTAAATAGGATTTTAAACTTGGAAAGTAGCAAGCTTACATAAAGCGATGTGAGTCCTTGGAGATCATTTTCCTTGACCTCTTTAATTTTGTTGTTCTGAAGGTCAATCATACGTGTATCTGGTGGAATGTTGCGAGGTATTGATGTCAAACCTGTTGAAGTATATGACAAAAACAGTATGTGCCTGTACTTAAGTCCAAAGAAATTAACTCCTAAACACCAAAACACAGTAAGGTTGTTGATGATTATGATGGAAAGAAAATACAAATTGTCGTAAAGCAAAAGATAGAAGGGAATATTTGATAATGAGAAGAACTAATTATGTGAGAATGTGTGGATAGTTTCAGGAGGAACTGCTGCTGCCCCTGACCATGAAAATCTTGAAGGGGGGTGCTCACTGCAGGTTCTTTACATCCATGAAATATGGGAGTTCAGAGCACAGGTTTTTCGACAGGGAAACTGCTGTATTTATAAAGTCCCTGGAGAAAGCAGCCTTTGAAGAATCTGGGGCTGTGGTCCTCTGCTGAGGAGCAGGGCTGTTGCATGGCTTTAAGGGATTTCTGCTCAGTGCCTAACTGCTCCTTTCCACTCCTGCACTGCCCTATCCCATCGTACTGTCAGGGTTGCAGGTCATGTCTGCAAAATGTGTTCTTGGTAGCAACCAGCAGCTAGTAATTAACTTCCAGCTGAATAAATCCCTCGATCCAGTTCACTGTTGACTTACAAAACCACTTCAGTTTATGCCATCTGAGACCCTGAATCAGCAGGAAACTAGCAAGGGATTGTAACTTTCTTTGCAGTGGAAAAGCTGATGCAGCAAATGCTACATGCTGGTCCAATTTATCAACAATTATGTTTTAATTAATAGGTTACAGTTATTTAAAGATGAAGTCTGTTTATAGGGGTTTTTTTCCATGTGAACTTAAGTAAAGCAGTTTGCAATCTAAACTAGATGCAATAATCACAGTTTATTTTTGTCAGAAAAGTTTATTTTCATTCCTTAATAATGACACATTAAAAAAAACCCAAACAAACAAAAACTCAAGCAATTTATACATTCAGTCAAAGTTTCTAAGATATGAGGAGCCTAGGATTGAGTTTAAGCTGGTGGCAGAGCTGTGATGAGAACGAATATCATTGTCATTGTGCAAGTGACAGGAGCATAGACCTTTGATTACTTTGGATCATGGGGAAAATTCAATGAACACCAATTCAAATTGTCACAATTAATAATGAGTTTGTATCTGGGGAGTAGCATATATATGCAACAGTGACAGCAGCAGATTTGCCTTCTGTTAAAATGTTGTTACCTGTGATGTTTTTTCCCATGAGCTGGGAAAACATGTTGTAAAATGTGCTGGGCACAGATTAGTTGCTGAACATGAGTTGGGTCTGGTTTGCAAGCCTAATTGAAAAAATGTAAGCTCCTGTGGAAAATGACTGTTGCAGGAATATAAGAATGTGGGTGATTTATGGAGCTGTAGGAGTCACCTTTTAAAAGCAAATCCTGCAAAGGAGGGTCCGGTGGAGAGCAGACGCACAACTTCATTCTTACCTAGGTCAGAGCAGTGGACAACTCTCACATAGCACTGGCATCCAAAGGGGCATACTGGGAATAAATCAAAAGGAATCAGTGGTATAATTGGTTCACTGGTTGGGAATAGAGAATTGTCATCGTCATCATCATCATCTTCTTCCATATCTTGGAGCATCATATTCTTTAGTGTAAAATATGAAGGACCAATGAGAGGTTTGGCAGAGCACAAAGCCAAGAAGAGGAGGAGTGTGTATTCTTTCATATCTTCTTAATCAGGATAGCCAATCTTAGAGAGGAAAATAAACAAAACACTCAAACACAAGAATCAGTGAATGTGAAACAGCAAATAAAAGGTATTGAATTATTTACTTCATCTACTGCTACAGCCTCTGGTCCTGAGAATTGGTCTGTTATGAATATTAAGGTTTAATCAGTATATGAAGGATGATGATTATAAAAAAGTCTTTAAAAATACAAATCATTATAAATTTTATAATAATAAAATACTTAATGAAATTCATTAGACATTAATGTCATATAAACATTTTTTAGTTGAGCCTGAAAAAATAGTATCATCATTTGTTTCATAGCTTGCAGGTGTAATTTTTGTAGTAAACTTTACCAAAACTTGGGAGTAGATGTCATTTTTTCATTCTTGATGAAAAAAAAATATTTCATGTGATGCATGGACACATGTGCATTGCTTGCATCTGGACAACTGAGAGATACCTGATTAGCAATGCAGAAAATGCTCTCATCAGGATACAACCTAAACACGTGTTATCCTATTCCCTGAACACTTCTAAGTAAACTTTTATTCTGCCCTTACAAGCTGTGGCTGCGCCATCCCTGGAAGTATCCAAGGCCACATTGGACAGGGCTTGGAGAAGCCTGGCCTTAGTGTAAGATGTCTAGGGGAAGGGGTTGGAACTGGATGAGATTTAAGGTCCCTTCCAACCCAAACCAGGCTGGGATTCTATTCACTGTCCCTGGAAGTGTTAAAAAACGGTGTAGATGAGGCCTTCTGACATGGTTTAGTTGTGGACTTGGCAGTCCTGGGGTAACAGGTGGACTTGATTGATCTTAAAGGTCTTATCCAATCTGATTCTATAATTAACCTGGAAAAACAGAGTTTTCAGTCCTGACAACACCTTTGCCATTTCCTAGTCTTCTGTTTATTATTGCTGTTGATAGGTCACCTTTGTATGGAAACACATTTGCATTGACTTTTATTTGACAAGAGTTCTTGTCTCTGACGAGGGCTTATGAATCCATGTTCTTTGAAATCAGTAACTTAAATTGCACCTAGAAAAGGACTGGAAGCCAATACATTTGAATGCCTATTTTTTCAGTAAATGTGGGGTTTTTTTTCTGACATAGCTTTGTTGTCATGGGGCCTGTACATGACAGCTAGGCCAGCTGATAGGAGATAATTACGTGTCATGCTTGAATTTACTGCCATAAGCCCCATCAGCTTTCTAGATTATCTATAACTTGGAAGTACCTTTCTTGTGTAATCAAAGGTACTTTGGTCTGGAAGACAGAAAGATGCTGGATCAGCTAGAGCGCCTTCAAAGTAGAAAACCCCATGTCTTTTTTCCTGAAGTTACTGAGAAGAGTACACAAGTTGCAAAGGACATACAAAGTAGATTTGTATTATAAAAAAAAAGGGCTGATCCTGCCTCATTACAGCTGTTCATTCAATTGAATTCAATTCTGCTTCTCAGAGTTCTAATTTTACCAGATTTCTTCTAGCTACACCTGCCTGGGAAAACCAGGAGTCCAGTCTTTAATTAGAGTAAAGTTTATTACCTGAATAATGGCGATGAATCATAGAATTGTATGGGTTGGAAGGGACCCCTAGATATTTTCTACATGCTCTGGTGTTATTTTAAAGATTACTTTATTGACCAAATAGTCCTATAAATTTAGACACAAGGGAAGACAGAATTACCACAGAATGTTTTGCTACTCTGTGAGAAAAGACTGTAAATTCAGTGCTCAGCTCTTCCTTCTTCCGCTCTGAATCCAAATTCGGGATATTGTTTGGATACTACAGTTTGCTGTGCAAACCAGCAGGAGCTGCTGTAAATTTTATTATGTATATCCTGTTTATAAGAATGTTTCTATTTAGACTGTCATAGACCTCTTTAGGGAAGTACTAAATGAATGTCAGTTCTTGTTTGATCACCTAATTAAATCTTGCTGATCTGCTTATGGCTGAAAAATGTCTTTATGTAGGCATTTTGTCCCTGGTCTCAGTCGCAGGTGAAGGAGTGCTCTGGTTTGTACAAGGGTGGTGGCTTATTCAAAATTCTGAGGTTTTGTTTGCATTGGTTTTTTCCCTACAAGGTCATTTTGATGTTTTTTGTATATGGTTCTTAACAGCACTAAAATGCTGTGTATACATACAGTGCTGCTACTGTAACTGTGTGTGGTTCAGGGTGTATGAAAAGTAAAAAGATAACAGTATATAGTTTACACTCTCAAAAAAGAATGCAGCGACTCCTTCCCCCCAAATGTGTCTGACAACAGAACACTAGTATACTTTGTACCTTTGCAGGTATACAGAGTTTTGTTAACAGTTAACTTCTGTTTGTGATAGGCACTGGATGTAGTGTTACTGCATCTAAAAAATAATCTTCCATGTACGTTCCTGAAATGCTTTTCTGGATCTGGTGCTAGAAAGTTGTCCTGTGAAACAATTTAAAAATCTGTTTCCACACTTGCAACTGTAGCAAGTGATTGCATATTTTGGATATTTAAAAAACTAATTATTATTTCAAACTGTGTAAAAGGTAAGGCTGATTGGAGTAGTGGCCAATTTGAACTCTTGAAAAACATGGTTCTAGAAAAGTAATGTTGAAATATGTCATTGATGACATACTAGTCTGTCCTGGTTTCCTTTGAGAGAAACACCTTGAAAGCAAGTCCTTTTACAAAAGGAAACCTGATTTGTGAAATAAATAAAATTACATATATATGTATATGGCTTTGTTCTTAGGGGTGGTAATCAAGTTTGACTCCAGATTTGCATTGGCCAAAGAATGGATTCCAAAGAACTGGGGTTTATGGAGGCTCTAAAGTGTTTTTTTTTCCCTGGATGAATTTTTGAGTTTCCCAGTAAATAGATGTTGATATGTCTGTGGGAATGCTCTGACTTTCCAGCTCATCTCAAAGAACTCATAAAAGCTTTCTGCATGCTTACACTTCAAGAGTAAGAGAATGAAAAGAAGATGAAACCCTCAAGTCCAAAATCCTAGTGATCTTTCTGGAAATACTTTAATTATTGTGTCATGAGAATGTTATGAAATAACTGTTTCAGAGAGTACAGTTTGTGAATACAGCTGTACTTATGGTCCACTACTGCCACTTGAAGCTGGTTCTGCACCTAGGGACATATTTCATTTCTCTCATACCAGCTCTTCCAATCAGGCTGTTTGCTGAACTGATGGAGCTCACTAAACCAGCATAAAACTAATGTGAGCAAGAAAAAAACCCAACACATTCTTTCTGGGTGAATAAACTGAATCAATCTTTAGTATCAGAGCCAGCACAAGGGAATGGGTGGAACAGCCTGGTTTAGGGGGACAAAACACTGAAGGCAAAGAGAGGGAAGGACAAGAGGTGGGACAGCCGTTCTTGGCATATGCAAGCTGTTAGGCTCAGGTGTTCTCTTTAATAAAACCTTGAACAGATGATTGTTGCTTGAACAGAGTCTGGCCTTGTCCCTTCTCACTTTTAGAGACCAGAACATTGAAGATGAGTTTGAGAAAATGTTGGGAATTCAAGGATGGCTAATATGTTTCTTCATTATATTTTCTTTATAACAGTCCTACTTTCTTCTTCAGTAGAAAGAGCTACCAAACAGCACCTTTTCACTGAAAGACTAGCCACTACAAAGTGAGGTAGCTGAACATGGAGAGTATACGTTACATGTACAGATGCTGTAAGGCTGACTTTCCTGAAGTATGACACTTCAGGAAATATGACTTCAAAATTTAGTGAATCCTAAATTCACTGTGCTGATTTGGGACATACCTACCCTTACTAATGTGGTGGTCTTTACGAAAACTTGTATTGCCAAACAGCATGTGAAACATAGGAACTTTTTATGTATTAGTTTAGGGTAAATGTGCAATAATTCTGTGATGTGAAAAATCTCAACAGTAGTTATGGAAAGAAAAACACTTTCTATGAGGATAGAAGTTATATTGCTAGTATGGGATGTGTACATAAAAAAAACCCTCAATAAAACAGGTCAAGTCTAGATTCCTTGGCAGTAGTATGCCAGTCTTGCAGCATGTGGTCTTTGTTGTCTTACCAGTTATGACTCTGAAGGAGTTAACAGGTAAAATTTTCAGACTTAAAAAATCCTCTATTTTTAGAAATAACCTCTGTTACCCGTGCACAGGGGCAAATTTCCTATGGCATTGTTTCTGAAAAGGAAACGTTTAAATGGCACAGTGGTGGTCTTCATAGAGGCAATGAAAAGTCTGTGTTCATTAATAACACAAACCATTGCCCCATGCACAGATTTTGTCCAAAGAAAGGCAAGACCATTGCTGTTTTGAAAGCTGTATTTAAAAATAGTTCTGCTTCTATTAGTCATTGTCCCATTCCAGAAATAAAAGGAGTTTATGTTTAACTCTTTGTCTACTCTATTGATTCACTTAAATTGCTAAAGAAAAGCAGGAGGAAATTTTTGGGTTAGTAAGATTACTGAGGAAATTATTCTGTCCTGAGAAACAGTCCAATATTGAAGTTATGTGATATGATAATAGCATGTTTACAAAGTAAGTTATGTTTAGAGACCATTTACTTTTTGGAAAATAGCTTGTCTCTTGTGTATTACTGAATATGATTTATGAGCATTTTAAGGGTGTAGCTTGTTTACAGTTCATTCTTCCATGTGTCATTTTTAATTACTTTGTAGATAGCTACTTAAAAAAAACCCCAAGCATTGTGAATACCAAATTACAGAAAGTTAACACAGAATTGTAACTGTAAGAACTATTGTAGGATAGATATTCATAGACTGTAATAACTGAGGAAGAGGTTTCCTCAGTTGTTACATCTTTCTGACAAGTCTTTCATAGTTATATAATTCACTGTACCCTTTTATTGCTTTGCAGCTCAGATGTAGTACATACAGAATTATTTCAGCTGGAAAGTTGATTTTCAAATGCTTCAAAAACAAAGTGGTGCTTCTAACTCTAAATTGCCTGACATTATTAATCTGCAAATACTGACTGACAACCTGTTGCTTAATTCTTTATCCTTATTTATATAGAATAGAGATTCAATCTGAACATACCTTGCAAATTTGGTAGTTCTTCAGGAAGCACTGCGGTAATCCACCTGAGATCTTTATGTCCAGTTATTTCTTATTCAAAAATAACATAAAATAAAACAGAAAAAAAAAAGTTAAGCTGAGTTCTGTGAAATGGAAAGTAAATATAAAGAAAAATTCCACTTCCAAACTTCTTGATCCTCCTGGCACTGTGAGTGATACCAGAGTAAAGTGCTGCTTCAGATTAGCCCATCTTAGTACTGAAGAAAGATATTAAGATGACTTGTTACCACTCATATGTTTTTCATCACTGCCTGTATTGCAGCCAAAACTTCTGGCTTAACTCTAGACGTCTAGTGGAGGACTTTATAAAACCTGTAGTTTAATAACAGTTGACATCAGGCCATTGGAAGTACAGAGAGGACCATTTCAGGTTATTCCTGCTACGAAATCACACTTATTTATGACTTCATTAGCTGTTATTCCTTAAAAAGCATGATGTGAATAAAAGTGTAAAACCTTAGCCAGTGGCAGAGTAAATGAATAGCCTGTAGTGATCAGCATGTTGTCAAACCTTTCTAATTAGGACTTTGTTGTGTCGTTAGACATAAATCCTACCTCTTGCTTTCAATAGGCAGTTATCTGGCTGTGGAAAATGGTTTAAGATTGTAAAATGTAGATCAGATTTTATTAGTCAATATAGTTAATTTTTCTTTCTTGTGCATGAGAAATAAAGCCTATCTGTTATTTAAAACAGATATAATTGCAATATTCTGTGGTAAGGATTGAAGTTGTGAACTTAAAGTCCTGTTACATAGTTTGTACTGACATACACATCACAACAGGTAGAAACTGGGTTATTCTTTGTTTACCATCCATATGCTGCCTAAGTATGCTTAAAAAATGTGTGGCTAATTGACTTTACCTAAAGCAAGTTTCATAATTTTATGATTAAATAGAATTTACAACATAATTAAACAGTTTGTGTCTTTAAATTTACAATACGTTGTATCTACCAGATGCCATGAACATCTACTTCATCTGTTTCTTCAATAAGCTCCTTTCTATGTTAACAATTTGGTCTTGCTGTGGAGAAATAGCCTGGAAATTTTCTTTATTAATTTATTTAAAGATACATGTAAGGTGGTGCTGTTTGCAAAAGTGGCATATAAGTTACTTGGCTACTGTTCATTTCTTAAGGGAGAAAAAGATACTATGCCAAAAATTCAACCTTTGGTGCTCTCTTAGCAAACAAGATAAGGCTTGTGTTACCTGCTTCATTGGTTTTGCTTGAGTTCCAGTTCCAGTAGCATAGATGAGTGATGATATTCTCTCTATCACTTCTCCCAAGGAATGAAATTACAGTTTCAAAAGCAATCACATTCCCACACAACAATCTGAAGGACGATTTTAAACTTTTTTGAAATCTCCAATTGCATATATCTGCAATCTCTTGACTGTATTTAGAAACCCGAGCTTCCTAAGCAAACACTCCCCTGTGTTTTGTAATAGCTTGGTTTGGCTGCATTTACTTGAGCAAATTACTATTAAATCACTCTTTAAAAGAAAAAACCCAACATTTTCTTGGCTTTTTAATAAAGGAGAGCATGGCTTAAGACTTGTGATAGAAATGTACTGATTTATTTTCACTTTCAATAGTAAAGTGTTGAATCAGCAATTTCAGCTGGTCCTGGTTTTGCGGCAATGTTCCCTGTTCCTGATGTTTACCAACATCTCTGTTTTGGATGAATGCTTTTTTTTAAATTATTACTTAATCTTTTTAGTTGATCCTGGTGGTAGGAAGACATCCTTATGTGTATAGAGTTTACCATAGCCGCACTACATAACAAAGCTGACATTGTGGAGGGATAGTAGCTGACAAAGATGTAACCATCTTAACTTATAAAGGATTATCCATATATTTGATACAATATATAGCATCAGTATATTAGAAATAAATATTGCTTACATTGACATGCTGTTCTTGTAATGAAAGCGTTTAATACATCAAGATACAGATTTAGTATTTTGATTATGAGCATAATTACATCCTAAAATAGAATATCCAGAAGTCACCTTTTCAGATTTCTTGACTATCAGATTCTGAACTTTAGATTTTCACCACTGATAGCAATACTAAAACATAAAATAGGCCTGTGGTTCTCAATCTAGTTTACAAGCCTGTCTTTTTAAACATTTGCAGCATATTTCCAATTCACTAAAAGCTAACTATTATTGGCAAATTCCTCTCTAGGATCATTCTTTCCAGTATACTTTTAATTTTTGCATGCAAAATCATTGCATGAGCCAGCATAGTAGGGCAGCTATAAAGTCCTGAATGCAAATTGGTTTGTGAAAATGAAGGAATTGATGCCAGGTACTTGGGTCAATGTTCCTCTCACTTCTTGGGGTAAAACCACAGTAGAAGCTGTAGCAGCTGCTCAGAGGCTGTAGTTGCAGCTATTTTGAGGTAGGGTCCAACTCTGCTTTCTTGGCTGAGTTGTAAAGCAATTGATTCAAGATGATACAGTTGAAGATGTCATTAAAAGAAAAACATTACACCTTATTGCATCAGCTGTTTCATTAATAGTGAGATTTTGTTTTTAAATAGCTTCTAGAAAAATGCATCTGTCAGGATTGTGATGTTGACGTCTAAATTAAGAGAAATATTCTCAAAATGGATACCTGAAGGCATTTCCTTGTAAGCAGGTGTATGTGTATTTTTGCCAAGATTATATGAGGTCAAACTGTTTGCTTAGACCTTTTCTGTGATTTCTGTTTCCACCATTTAAAGAATTGGTTGAAAATTAAAATTTTATCTTGCCTTAAAATACATATATAACTCCTTTGAGTAGCGGAGATGAAATTCTGACACATAGTGTAGGAACATATCCATCATCTTGTGGTTCAGAATATTGTCTTTCACTATGGTAGAAAATGCAAATTAGTACAAATTGGATGCTGTTTTATATTTAATATTATCACATCAGTGATATAAAATGCTCTTTTGATTTCTTTACTGAAAATTACTATATTTCTATTTGTGCAGGAAAGCATAGCTGCCATATGCGGCCAGTGCTTTACACTGCAATCTTCTTTTTAAGCTGATCTTGTGTACACTTGTTATTGTAAGGCAAACTAAGTATTTTTTCTTCTAGGGCTGTTTATAAATGTGGTTTACATAAAATGATGAATCTAACATCAACTGCACAAAGCTGTCTTGGAGACTGCCCATCACATTTTAATAACATGACGTATTCTTTTTATGCTCACAGCCAGTCTGTGTGGAGCGCAGTCACGTATTGTGATTTTAGCTAAGTTTTGGCTCTTCTGAAGTAGAACTATACCATTGAAGGAAGCTGAGTATAGAAAAACTATTCTTTTGCTTCTGTTGTTCATCTTGAGTCTTCAGTATTTCTGTGTTAAATATATAAGGCAATCATTAGAATTTGTTATCATGAATGAATCAACTTTTACATGTTAGTAGATGGCTACTTTTTTGCATATTTTTGGCAGCTGACTTAGAAACTTCAACAAAATATGCTGTTTCATTTTGCAGCCAGTCCTTTAGTCTGTGGCATTATTAGCAATATGCCAACATTGAAGGGCAATTCATATGTCGCAGTATGAAGAGATCATGCACAAAAAGAGCTACATGCACAAAAAGAGCTGTAGAGTCAAGTCTGCCTATACATGCATCCATGTGATTGTCAGGCTTATATGTTTTATACGTGCAAGAATGCTGCAATCTGGAATGACTAGAGAGGTGACCTGGAGAAGAATCATGGTTTCCTGGAAAGACAGACCTTACTTTTCACCCTTGCAGATCGTTTGTGTTGTCTTAGGAGAGTAAGTTAAATTTGTTTACCCCAGGCTACAGGTTAATACAGATTACTCTGTGTGGGAATGCCAACTTAAGAAGTCCTCAGCTAGCTTATTCCCACCTTGATTCCCATCCGTGTGGTCCTGTAAAAAGGCTTGTATTCTTAACTGGATCAGAAGATACCTCTGCCTAAAAAACAGCCTGCTTGATGAATTAAGGTCTTGAAAAAGTTTTGGTTTCTGTACGTGTCAATTGTTAGTCTTGCTTTTGATGCTACTTAACAAGTTTGGATAACGTTGCATGTCATTTTTATGGAGTATGGGTATTTATCTGCCTTACAGACATTGGAAACACCAGATATTCTTGCATGAAAAATCAAACGGTAGTTAAAATGAAAAGTTCTGCAACCATTGCCAGACTACTGAATCACTCTGACAATAAGTAATAAAGGAAACTTTTCTGTTTCGGAATACAAGCTGGACTGGGCACAACATTTCCTCACAGAATATCAAGCATTCACTGTGCCAAAGTTTAACAGTTTAAAACAAAGTAAACAACAAAAGCCTGATCCTCTGCAAATGATGATTATTTTCCATTTTTCATTGTTTTAGAAGACAGTATTAATAATATGGAAGTTTAAATGAAGTTTTCTTACACACAGTCTTTTGCTAGATACGTATTATTCAGCACTTAAAGGCAACATTTAAAGTGGCAATTGTCACCAATTTCCATTGAGATGATAGTTATAAGAAAAAGGAAACATGGCCATGCAGTCCTTTGTATTCCAGAAAAAATGAAATAAACTATTTGAATTATGCTAAGCTGCCAAGATGATCTAACTTAATTTGGTATTATGTTTTTTCCTAGTTTTACTTATCTACAAAAGTAATTTACATTACATTAGAAATTCAGAGATCCAAAAGAAGTTGACTTTGACTCAGTTTGTCATAAACTGTTAAAAATAGAAGCAGTCAATATGACGCTTATAGCAGAGAATTGACTACAGTTTGCACTCCTGTGTCTAAGGAAGAACGTGGGTCTGTAAATGTCTGCATGTATGTTGAACATATACTGGTTTGTAGATGGAAAAAGTAACTATATTTCTAGGAAGATCTCCAAACTGTTTGCAAGTTTCAAAACACACAATTTGTAACTTCAGTATAATCAAAATGAAAACTTCTAGAAAACTTACTAACAAAAGGAAGGATATTATCTCAGTAAGATGATTTCCCTACCATATGAATTAAGTTAGCGCTCATTCTCAGGTGCATGTTTTGTTCCTGGGAATTTCATCAGCGGGTCTAATTTTTGTCTCATTGACGCA